ACACACTCACAAAAAAAAGATGTTTTGTTTTGGGCTTGGTTTGGGGTTTTTTTGGTTGGTTGGTTTTTAGTGGAAGAAAAGCTGAGAGTAGGTGCTGTTCAGCCTTGAGAAGACAAGGCTCTAGGGAAACTTTATAGTGTCCTTTCAATATATAAAGGGGGCTTGTAAGAAAGATGGAGAGAGACTTTTTACCATGGCCTGTAGTGACAGGAAGGGCAATGGTTTTAAAACTGAAAGAGGGTAGGGTTAGACTGGATATAAGGGAGGAATTTTTTATGATGAGGGTGGCAAGACAATGGAACAGGTTGCCCAGAGAAGTTGTGGATGCCCCATCCTTGGAAGTTGTTCAAAGTCCAAAGTCAGATCAGACAGGGCTTTCAACAACCTGAAATATTGAAGGAAGACCCTGCCCATGGCAGGGGGTTGGACTAGATGATCTTTAAAGGTCTCTTCCAACCCAAACCATTCTATGACTCTATATTCCACTATTTTAGCATATATTCATTCTATATTTCAGTAATGTACTTTGGAGAAAGGCCACAGGCTCAAAGCTTCAAACTACCCTCACCCACCTAAGAATCTCAAAAGCAATGACAGGTTGGAACTTCATTCCTACGTAGGAGCTGAGACTAAGAAGGGATACTCTCAGATCTGATAATATACACCTAGCCAGACACCAGATGGCCTGTCCACAATCAGCCAGACAAAAATTGTTGTGCTGAGGATTTGAACAAGGGCCTCCCAGATTGGAGACCTACTACCCTGCCACCAGATAAACCTCACTGTTCCAACTTGAAAAGACTGAAACAGAACGCATGGGCACATTTTCCATCATGTGAACTTTCACAGACATGTCTTGATTTTCTTCTCTTCAAAAGGCATTCTGACTTGGAAAAATGGAGAAAAATGGCGATTTTCCCCAAATCAGAGGAATTGCCAGTTAGACAGAGAAACAATTTTGTGTCTCTACATCAACAGAAAGGTACAGTGAGGCAAGACAACCAAGACATTCAGCCAGAGGGACATGAAAACACATCCTCCTCAAAACTTTAGCTTTATGTGCTCATCACTCAGGAAGCCCAGCAGTAATTCCCACATGTAAAAGGTTGAGTCATTCAAAAATTCACAAGTGTCATGTTTCACAAAGAAAGGCCTGTGACTCAACATTGGACAGGACAAGCCTACAGCATTTTAAGCCAAGTTGTCAGTTGCTAAAAACATAATCTTTTTTTGTTGTTGTTGTAAAGGAGATACATTTCATTACTCCCCCATTCACTGCAGTGAGCAAGAGGGAGCTCTTAGTGAAAGAAGGGATAACAATACCCACAATCTTAATATGAAAGGTTTAAAATTTTACGATCAACTGTAACCAGCATCATTAAAACCATGATCACAGTTGATGCTCCTCTGAGTAATACCAGTAACATGACAGTTAAAATATAGCATGGACAGCACAGAGTCACACTACTAGATATGTTAAATACTTTTTAAAACTAACATGTTTCTAATAAGAGCATTAAAGAGGACAATGTTATCTAAATTAATAGCCAGCTGTATTTAAAAACTATGATCAATATCTAGCATTATGAGTCATAATCAGATAAAATCCTATCAAGCACAATTACCCTCTCCATACAAAGGACAAAAGCATAGAGATAAACCATGCTGGCTATCAAATTCTCCAAACGTAGCCACATAAAAGTGACTGAACTTCCACAGCTGACGCTGAGTCTTGGACATTTTGTTTTATGGTTGTCACTATACCATCTTTAACAGCACTAAGCAGTAAGAGTCAAAATGAAGTAAGAATGGCTTTTATAACTGTCACCAAATAGCAGTAACTCTTGTTGCAGATGTAAGCAAAATTTATATAAATTAAAAGCGGAAAAACAGAATTAATTCCTAGCAGCCTGTTCATTATATCAGACCTATTTTTCAATACATCAAACAAGACATGCAAAAGTATGAAAATTAGTACGAAAGCCTTCTAAATCAGTATCTAGCAACAGTCTTACAAAAGTAGAGGCTTGGAGGAAGGGAGATGGGGATTGGACTATCAAGGTGTGGGAAGGAATATAAGCAAGTGAATGATAGCTTGATGAACAAAGGAAGAATACCTAACAGTTGATAGAGACTCCCTTAGAGGCATAAGCCCATGTGTACATTCACAACCTGATTAGGCAAAACATCCAAACAGCTGGGATCAGGCTTGCCTGTCTTAGCAGTGGCTAAGAAGCGTGTGCTCACATGTCTGAATGCAGTAAAAAAAGAAATTAAGCATGCTCAAATCCTGAGCTAAGGAATACCTTCCCTTCTTGGGAACAGAAGAGAAAAGACCAGATTGGAAATCACATCTCAAACAAACCTGTTTCCAACTCCAAGGAGTTCTCAGAGGCAGGTGTCTCTCTCCTGGTCTCAGTTGCTGAAAAGCCTCAAGTTCCCTTGCTTGTCTTATCCACACTGACAAACTGCTGAGAAACCATCCAACTTAGCAAATAAAATAGTCTCTCAGGTACCAGAATCAGTCCTATCTGCCACACTGTTTTGTAAGAAATGCAGTCTGAACACTTTTCTTTTAATGAGTTCTTCTTTTGGAAAAAAAAGGTAATATATATGAACACCTGACAGGAATAATCTTCTATGACAAGTCACAAAGCATTTAAAGTGCACTGACGCCACAAAAATACTTTTAACAAGAGTCAGCCCAGTAGCAAAAATTTAGGAAAGACAGAGGGTAAAAGCCTTCTAAGAAGGCAAGATATAAAATGTGTGGATGAAAACTCTTCAAAGGAGCTTCTTCTGACTGTACCCAGTGGTTAGAAGCAACTAAAAGGAAAAGGAATAGTCAAATTCACAAATGCAGGCAAAGCATGTGTTTTGGCAGTGTTTGGCTGCACCCGTCTGCATATTGGGGCAAAAAGTTCTTAAGGTCCTTGTGCACAGGTACAGTATTGATTTATACAAACAATCCAGCTACCATTGAGTGATCTTTGCTCCTTCTCTGAGGTTTTGCATATTCAAAGTAGATGTCTCCAAGAAGCATGCTCCAATTTACATTATCCAAAGACAGGATCAATATTCCTAGCTCAAAAGATGATGTGGAACTGCTCTACTCAATGCTTGAAGGCTTCAGTGATCACATAGTACTTAATGTGATCTGAGATCCAAGCAACAGAAATACAGATTTATGGAAAGGAAGCATCTTTCAACATGCTGCTAACGTCACTTGCTCTACAGAAGGAACTACCATGACTCCTAAGGGTTCCAGCTTAGCTATTTCAGTGGCTCCTTGGCACAAGTTGAAAAGCACATGCAAGCTCAAACTGCTCTCCATGAAACAACTTTGCTACAGAAATAAAAACAACAAGCAGTTTTCCTTGCTTATATCTGACAGCAAAAGAAAGCTTCTGTTCTGAGGGCCTTCAAAAGACAACCGGTAGGTTAATAATGCTGACCTAGATGAGATTCAGAAGCTGCCTCAAGTTACTATTTGGGTTGATCATTCAGTGATTTTTACGCCTTCTTTTGTTAGGACAAAAGTGTAAGTTAACGGGGCTTGAGTTTTACCACTACTCTAACTTAAGTGATAGCTGCTACAAACACTGTCTTCCTGAAGAATTGTCACAGCAATCAAATTAAAAGGCTAACTTGGAACACTGGAGAATAGGATCACTCCCTACTGAGCTGTGAGAAAATTGATGAAAGACCTAAGTCTGACAGATTCTGGAGGCAGAGAAAGGCTCACTGGCATGAATGCAAGCTCAGCTCTTCAGTTGCAACATAGAGAGGGGCAAAATTCTGTGCTTCTCCTTTCCTTTGGACCTCCTATAACAGACCACATAAATGAGTGCAGCAGAAAGGACTACTTGCAGCTCATCCCTCTGCAGATGAGGGGCTTGGAGAGAATGGACAGTAACAACGGCGAAGGAATAGTACCTGATGAAAAACTAACTAGTGATTTCTTTCAAGATATAAACTGGATCTGTGCTTTTCCACTAAGCTCTTCATCCAAAAAGACGACACTCCTACAACAAAAAATTCACAGATCTGAGGATGATGCTAAAGACATGAGGAGCCAACAAATATGGGGTTTGTCTTTGTTGTTTTTTGGGCTGTGGGCTTAAAAACACTGAGAACTTGATATGTGTGGTAGTCCCCTAAACAAATGGGGAAGATGAATATGAACACCTGAAAATGTATCAAATCTTAAGCCATGAAATATGGCTGGAAGTATAATATTTTAGGTAGTGGACTACAGAAGGGTCAAACTAAACAAATCAAACACGTAGGCAATAGATCAAAAGACAGGTAGCTGATAACACATAAGAAGAGCTACAACTTAATCTGTAGGTTGGGTCAGCCTCAAACCTTGCGAAGTGAAAATATGTAAAGTAATAAAGGATTAGGTCACAGCAACGCTACTGCTAGACCAAAGTCGTCCACGGTTGCAAGTCTTTGAGCATACACATCCTTTCAACCTAAGCATACCTTAGGATAAGCATTCAGAAATATAAGTCTCCAATCTTTTTAATACAAGTTTCAAAAGTGGGTCGAAATTGGCTTTTGATACTTCTCAGTTTGTCACTGAGAAAATGGTAAGAAGACTGTGTAGCGTTTTTGTGAAGCAAATCTACAGCCTTGCAGAACAAGTGACAAAACTTATTTCTACCTTCATGGAGTTACAGAATATCAAAACAAGTAATTGTTGGCATGAAAAACTAGTGACTTAACATCTCAGGCTGACATTTACTTGAGTGGATAGCTTTTTGAAAACATCTTGATAAAAGCAGCATTTCAAAGACCTAACAGAGGATCCTGAATTGGCCAAGACCTGCACAGAAACAAGCTTTAAAGATACCAAAGAATTTTGTTACTTTAGACAACTTACTACTGTAAAATTAGTTTGCAAACTACTGAGAAAACAAGATTCTAGAAAACTCTTCATATGCAACATTTGCTAGAATATATTAAATTTCACAGACACCTTGCAGTTTCCTTACCTCTTGTCCTGAAAGGTAGTATGCTGCTAGAAGACCACCAATGAAGCGAATATTGACCTCAAAAACAGACACTTCTGAATTCTAGAACAGGAAGAAAGAGTAAATAATTAGCCAACTCCCTTATCAAAGAAGAAAAAAAAATCGCCAAGGCAGGGGCAATTACATAGCCTAAACCAATATGCATGCAAGGGTTTGTATTGTTTCAGTATCTAGATACATCCTAAAATTCCTGTGTGCATCTTCATGACACCAACTGATAATTGTAGTTATAGCTTCAACTGATTTTTTTAAAAGTCTAATTAGGTTTTATTCTGCGCTCTAATCGTATTATCATGACAAAGGGCAATTGAAGTTGTTTGGGAATGGTGCGAAAGAAGGCAAGGACTATACATTTCCATAATTCAGCATTTTTTTTCTTATGTTTAAGCATAACACCAAATCTTCTGTGATTACAGGATAAAGTAGAATAATAATTAAAGAATTCCTGCAGTGTGCTTTCTTAACCTGAATTACCAACGTGCAATCTCAAACTCAGAGCTCCATTTTAACATAATCTCTGTCTAGGAATAGCCTGTATGTATTTACTGTTATGACAACAAGTACTGCAAGACCACTGAGAAACTCAAGAGAACACACCATTTTACTGCTTTCCTCCACATTAATAGCCTTGGAATAAATTCACCAGTACATTTTGATTCATTTAACTCATGGAACAATTGAAAGGAACTAGCTAGTTTTAGCATCTTTCTGCCTCCATCTACACCCCATTCACTCCTTTGCCTGCATACGTCCCATCTGTCTCTCCCCTAAACTTTTACTTGTTCAACACATTAGACACAGAAATGTAGTTTTATTAAAAGATTTTGAGATAAGGGAGCCTTTCCTTTTATCCAGAAAAGTCACTAGAATGTACACTACACAAGTTGACCCACCAATTAGCACACAGGTTCCTAAGTGAGTGGAAGGTAACTTCCTAACACAGCTGGTAAGTGAGCCTACCAGGGGAGGTGCCCCACTTGACCTGCTGTTTACAAACAGAGAAGGACTGGTGAGAGATGTGATGGTCGGAGCCAGTCTTGGGCTCAGCAACCATGAAATGATATCGAATTCTCAATTCTTGGTGAAGTAAGGAAGAAGGTCAGCAAAACCACTACCATGGACTTTCGGAGGGCAGACTTCAGCCTGTTCAGGACATTGATTGATGAAGTCCCTTGGGAGACAGTCCTGAAGGGCAAAAGGCTCCAGGAAGGTTGGACAGTCTTCAAGAAGGAAATCTTAAAGGCGCAGGAGCAGGCGGTCCCCATGTGCCATAAGACGAGCTGGTGGGGAAGATGACCAGCCTGGCTGGAGAGGGAGATTTTGCTGGGACTCAGGGGAAAAAAGGAAAGTTTATCATCTCTGGAAGAAGGGGCAGGCAACTCAAGAAGAGTACAAGGATCTCATTAGGTCATGCAGAGAAAAAACTTAGAAAGGCAGAGGCCCAGCTAGAACTCACTCTGGCCATGGTTGTAAGGGATAACAAAAAATGTTTTTATAAATATATTAACAACAGAAAGAGAGGCAAGGAAAATCTCCATCCCTTACTGGATATGGCAGGGAACATTGTCTCCAAGGATGAGGATAAGGCTGATGTACTTAATGCCTTCTTTGCCTCAGTCTTTAATAGCCAGACCAGGTATCCACAGGGTATTCAGCCCCCTGAGCTGGAAGACAGGGATGGAGAGCACAATAAACTCCCCATAACCCAGGAGGAAGCAGTTAAGGACCTGCTACGTCACCTGGACACTCACAAGTCTATGGGGCCAGATGGGATCTACCCAAGAGCACGGAGGGAGCTGGTGGAGGAGCTTGCCAAGACACCCTCCATCATTTATCATCAGTCCTGGTTAACAGGGGAGGTCCCAGAAGACTGGAGGCGTGCCAATGTGAAGTCCATCTACAAGAAAGGCCAGAAGGAGGATCCGGGGAACTACAGGCCTGTCAGCCTGACCTCCGTACCAGGGAAGATTATGGAGCAGTTCATTTGGAAGGCACTCACAGGTCATGTGCAGGACAACCAAGGCATCAGACCCAGCCAGCACGGGCTCATGAAAGGCAGGTCCTGCTTGACCAACCTGATCTCCTTCTATGACCAGGTGATCTGCCTAGTGGATGAGGGAAAGGCTGTGGATGTTGTCTACCTGGACTTTAGTAAAGCCTTTGACAGCGTCTCCCACAGCATTCTCCTGGAGAAACTGGTGGCTCATGGCTTAGACAGGTTTACTCTTCTCTGGGTAAAGAACTGGCTGGATGGCTGAGCCCAGAAAGTTCTGGTGAACAGAGTTAAATCCATGTGGCAGCTGGTCACAAGTGGTGTTCCCCAGGGCTCAATTTTGGGGCCAGTCTTGTTTAACATCTTTATTGATGACCTAGATGAGGGGATCAAGTGCTTCTTCAGTAAGTTTGCAGATGACACCAAGTTGGGTGGGAGTGTTGATCTGCTGGAGAGTAGGAGGGCTCTGCAAAGAGATCTGGACAGGCTGGATCGATGGGCAATTGTATGACGTTTAATAAGGCCAAGTGCCAGGTCCTGCACTTGGGTCACAACAACCCCATGCAACACTACAGGCTCAGGGAAGAGGGAAGTGATGGTGCCCCTGCACTCGGCACTAGTGAGGTTGCACCTCGAATACTGAGCTCAGTTTTGGGCCCCTCACTACAAGAAAGACATGGAGGTGCTGGAGCATGTCCACAGAAGGTCAACGAAGCTGGTGAGGAGTCTGGAGAAAAAGTCTCATGAGCAGCAGCTGAGGGAGCTGAGATTGTTTAGTCTGGAGGAGGCTCAGGGGAGACCTTATCACTCTCTACAACTACCTGAAAGGAGGTCATGGTGAGGTGGGTGTTGGTCTCTTCTCCCAAGTAACTAGCGATAGGATGACAGGAAATGGCCTCAAGTTGCGCCAGGGGAGGTTTAGACTGGATATTGGGAAAAATTTCTTTACTGAGAGAGTGGTCAAGCATTGGAAGAGGCTGCCCAGGGAAGTGGTGGAGTCACCATCACTGGAAGTGTTCAAAAAACGTGTAGACGTGGCACTTCAGGAGATGGTTTAGTGGGCATTGTGGTGTTGGGCTGATGGTTGGACTTGATGATCTTAAAGGTCTTTTCCAACCTTAATGATTGTATGATTCTATGATATTTGTAGGTATACCTTTCCTTTCACACTATTTCTACGGCACCCGCAGTTGTATCATGCGCTTTGCTTGTATGCAAAATAAATGCATTTTGCACACATCACTTATTTCAGAAAGATTATATGAATAAAGATTTCCTCAAATAGCACTGATGATTAAAAATCTAAAGTTTGAAATACTCCCAAATAAGAGTTTTTAGTAAAAGACATTTTTATTCATATACAGGTAATACAAGAAAAATATCAACAACACAGCATACAATTCCACTCAATACCTATTAAAGTCATGAATCACATAAATATTGGTACAGTGTAGAGTGCAAACAATAATTTTTACTTCCCAGTAAAAGAATTCAAGAAGAACAAATGTATGTATTTATTTACAAACTTCAAAACATATAAGTAAATTACTCAAGTCTGGTATATACAAGACAACTCATTAACCTTCAGAAATGTTTTTTGATATAGGAAACTGTAATTGAACCTCAGTGGGTCATGTAAGTTTCTTTCATCGAAACCCTAGATTAATTCTGAAAATTTATATCGAGATTACCTCAGATCAAAATTATGGGAGTAATTTAGTTCACCCTCATGATGGTACTATTATGTCTACACTGTTTCTGATATATTTAGGGTTTTCAGTTTTAGTCTTAATAATTATCTGGCACTAACTGAAAAGAGCAGAGAGTAGAATTTCTTTAATGTTCGCCAGTCAATGTATAAAACAAAAGGAAAAAACCCAAACAAATCATTTCTGAAGTGTAGGATAATTATATCCTACAAAAACAACAGTAAGCATCTGCTCAATTCTGACTCTATACCTACATTACATTTTGTGCATTACTGAACGAACAATTATTTTTGGAACCACAGGGTAAATCCAAGGATTGAAATACAAATTCTGTCACAGAGTCTGTGACAAGTCCCAAAATTAGTAATAAGAACACTAATCAATAAGGATGAAAAATAGAGCCATTTCTTCCATTTAACATTTCCAAACTCTGCATACAAGAAGAATGTCAGATGCTGTATTACAAGCTGGGAAATTCTTCTGATAGATTCAGAACCTAGAGGCACACTAAGATGACTCAAGTGGCATTCTTCATGTTAAAACATCCTAAGGACATGGGAGAAGACGACATTGTATTGTTAAGTAATTTATATACTGTGGTTGGTGGGGGAAAATTGTCTTTCACAGCTCAGTTATTCCCAGTTATTATTAGCTAGTAAAGCCTCATGTTTCTGCGTTCATTTCTGAGGCCCTGTTGGTTCTCTCTGACCACTCTCCCTTTCTTCCATTATCCAAATGTAATTTGTACTTTGAAAATACAATATATGTGTATCTTTACTTATAATTAAAGTGGGAAAGTGCTGGGGTTTGTTTTTTCAAAATACATGAAGTTACAAACACAGAGGACTTCACTAAAGCTTACATCTGAATTTCTGATACTTTGAATCATAAGTTTCTTAAGCTCGTGCTGAATGACCTCTTCGGTCTCCCTACAAGAGGAACACTATGAAAAGGACTTAGAAAAATATTAGGGCAAGCTCTACTCACCACACTGAAATCAAGATTTTTGTCAATCCACTCTTGTCCTTCTCTGAATTCATCATGAAGCCCCATGATATAAAGAGTATCCAATGCATCTACTATGGTAGCACCCATTTGTGAGTTTCCTACACACAAAAAGAAGGATTTCTTTTATAAGTGATTATTTCTTTACTTTTCTTAAACATCACAAGCATGAAAAAATAACCCAAGCAGTAGCAAAGCAAAGCTACTACAAAGATGACAATACAAAGAATAATCAAAATGAGCAAGGAATTAGCAGCTATATAAGAGGATGACACTTGTCTTTCAAAGCATCTGTCCTCTGGAACAGTGTGGCTTTTGGGGAGAAAAGACGACTAAAGATAGAAAAGAGACCCAACGCTTCTCATCTGCTTTCTTAACCTGAACATGAGCAACTGTACTTTGACACAAAAAGGAAAGACATTCAGCTTCAAAAAGCTATTAGGAATTCTAAGACAGAAGTGTTAAAAAAGAGCATATACACGATAAAGCAATGGGTACTTGCAGTAACGCTTTGCATTTCCCAACATTTACTACTGAAACGTTCAAAGTTTTGCAGTTACGGAAGCTACCAAGCCACTGAAAGCATGGACTGATAAGCATGGATGCCCTGGCCTGGCTTGTGATAAAGTCAGTCCCAAGACATTCACATCACTGCCTGCAGGGACTCACACTGTGAGGTGCTAATGGATTCCTCAGTTGTCACCATTTAAAGGGGAGCATTTAAAGCCAAATAAAATCAATGGTGCTTTACCCTAAAATGCCATTCATTTGAAACAGCAGCAATTTAGAGTTGATTGATGAGTGACTCATCGGTTTGTACAAGGGAGGGAGATAGGATGAACAGGTGGTGAGCCATTGACCATGTTAGCCTTGACCTCCCTAGACCATCCCAACCTAAGCTGTTGCCCCTTAGTAGGCAGAGGTCATTTTTTCTAGAGGAAAGCAAGAATTACCATGAGTTTGTTTATTTTCATGGAGTGTGTAAAACTCCCTACACACTAAGGAAGTAGCCGAATTTCACTGTTCTATAAAACAGTACAATAACTATACTATTAGCAGCTTAACGGCAGTAGCCTCCTAACAAGCTAAGCCTTTTTTTTGTTTCTTTTTTCTGTAATGTGCTTTCTATCCTTAACGGAATTTCTACAGCACAGTGTTCCTGCCTGGTTGTTTAATTTCTGAGTTTTACATGTTTAGAGACTGTTTTCCCCTCAAGCATAACAATAACTGAAGCCATCACCACCACTGTATTTCTTTTACACACCTAAATGACTGATACTTACATACAAGCTTAATTCCATTTTCAGAGACTTCTTCCCCTGAATAATAAAAATTAAACACAACAGTCTCTGACAAAGTAATCGCCAACTAATTTATTAAAAAATAACTGTGCATCTGTTTCAATTAATTTAAACTAGATATGGAAAGCCTTAAGTCAGTGGTGTTTGTTAAGAATATTCAAGTACAGATTGGGACACGCTACCTTTTGCAAGATTAAGTAGAAGACGTATCTTTTGACAAACTGGCCATCAGGCATACCTATAACTCTCAGGAAACAAATTCACCGTGGTGTGTAAGTACTGTAGGGTTTAAGACCTTCAGCCAAGTGACAAATTCCATTGCTTGAGCTGAAGTGGAGGTTGCTTTGAGTAGAGCTACAGCACGCGCTTAACTTTGTACCTTTTCATAAACTTGATATGACCATTATCTAATATATCACTTCAAAAATATGCAAACCAGATCACGACACAACAACTAACTTCAGTATTAGCTGACAAGGTATTTCTGACATAAAGTTGGAATGTGTTATACTGCTATGGCACTCAAATTAATTTCTGTTCCTTTATTTAAACTACATTGATAACATTTTCAAATACACAAGGCGTTTGAACAAATAGGGATACATAGCCTTGGGAAATCCTGAAAGTCCCTCTTGTAATAGTTTAAAAAAATAAAAACCTTCTAACTTAAACTCAGTGATAAAGTTGGAATGTGTTATACTGCTATGGCACTCAAATTAATTTCTGTTCCTTTATTTAAACTACATTGATAACATTTTCAAATACAGAAGGCGTTTGAACAAGTAGGGATACTTAGCCTTGGAAAATCCTGAAAGTCCCTCTTGTAATAATTTAAAAAAAATAAAAACCTTCTAACTTCAACTCAGTGATAACCACTTCAGTAAGCTCTCATATTCTATAATTGGCATGGAGTGATGAGAATACATTGCATGCGGATGGACTGCTGTCGTCACCCTCCCACACCCCAGAAAAAAGTTCGGACACCACTGTACTATTATCCACAGTTTTCCAGATCTCAGAATTACATGCAAGTCTACAAGGGCGGACAGCAATATGTTGGGCACTAGAATATCTGCTTTCCAGCCCTCTAGAAAATATCTTCAAAAATAGAAGTTTAAACAACCTTTTTCACAGAGTTCTCTGCACAGAACCATGAAAGAAGGGCCATGGAAATGCAAAAGCCTATGATTATTTTTGCCACCTCACGAATCCAATAGATGCATTCAGACAGAGACTGAGAGCAAAAAGGCTATAACTGCTGGAACAGAGCTCTCTCCAGAATTGAGTAAAAACATCCATGGTTTCCTAAACGCATCCCACAGTGACTGAACAATACGACTTCAAATACAGACAAGAAATTTGCTTTCATTCTCACAGTGTTAAAAGTCAGTCCTCAACCCCATATATAGAAATCTCACCTAAATCAGTAGTCCCCAATAAGAACTGACAACCTGTTTCACAGAAGATCCTCCAGTGTTGTTTGCAGCCACAGAAATAAATGCCATCAAAAGAGCAAAACAGACTTTCTCGCTATTTTTTTGCCCCTGAGAGACAATTAGAGGCATAAGTTCATACTCTAAGCTTTTGTCTGTACCACACTCCAATAGTTTGTTCAAGCTCTCCCTCCAGCTGCCTTTTTGCCCCTTTCTCTCATCTTTTATTGTCTATCTTTCCTAGACCCACAAAAGTCCAAGAAAACATTACCAAGCAAAGCCCCTTCTGCTTACACATGCCTCTTTCCTGAGCAGCGATGGGTGCCTGTTTGAGATGCAAATCAGTATGGTTATAGTTTCTAGACTCCATGTGAGAGCTCAACTATTTCTTACTACAGTCTCCTAAGGATAGTGGTATCCTCCTAAGGATATCCTAACCCATAATAAATTATTCATTTTTCTTCTTTATTGTGAATAAGTAGGCTATTTCAACCAAATTAAGTTTAATTTTCCTTCTCCTTCTTAAATGTACGGTAACTAATCCTAACTGCATACCAGCACCTCTTCTTTGAGGAAGACTCAGAAGAACAATCTTTGCTTTTTAAACCTTTTTGGCTGAGCACATTTCCTAAAGGTTGAGAGATAACAAGTCAGTATTTTGCCACAGGCTGTCTACCCAGTCTTCTTCCTTAGGTGTCAATGAGGCAGCACAAAGCAAGCTAATTCCATCTTCCCTTCTCTGAAGGGGAAGAGTCCAAAATTCAGAGTTCATCCCCAGAAGACTTGTGCCTAGAAGAATAGAGGGCAGAGCTAGACACGAGGACAAGAGACTTAACATAACACCTTGGCTGCCCCATGTTGCAAGATAGATACAACTTAAAACCATTTGTGGGCTATGCTAGGATGGGTTAGAGATTAAAGTTAATTGCTCTTAGCTTCTTTCCTGGAGGACTACATGGAGGCAATGTCATTCTTAATTTGTTCCTAAATAATAGCTTCTGTTGAATGCTTCTGTGTTTGCTGAGGTCCACAACCTAACCAGAACAGGCAATGACATTGTCATAGCTGCCTTCCTCCATCCTAAAATGCACTGTTCTACCAGCAAGGTAGCAGCTGAAATCTGAAGCAGGAAGAAACAGCAAGTGTTCAAAGATCACGAGCCTGCATTAGGGTCACACATAGTGCTACAGGGAAAACAGGCTACAACCGATAGGCAACTGTACTTCCCCCTCCTGATGCTGATACAAACCATTCAGTCTAAACTTACAAAGAGAAATAATTTTCCATTCATAGAGTATGTTTTTTTCCCCTTTCATAGCCAGGCTAAGAACCATAAATTGCCCCTTAAAGGGCAAGACAATTATTCTCCTGGACTCCAGAAGGTGTCATCTGAAACGTAATAAAGTAACTCCAAAGAATGAGATAATAGTTTAGAGAAGTATAGCCTGCTTACTACTACCTCAACCAGTCTGATCTACTATTGCTCGGGATACAGAGAGAGCAGATGTCTCATTGTAGTGAAAAAGGATATAAAACAATTAAATTAAAATAGAAAATAACACTTCTTGCTGAAGGCACTCCTCCCAGGGTCTGCCTCTATTCAGTACAAAGGCTTAGTTGGTCATGTTGCATAAGATAATAACTGATTCCAAGAGGGCTCAGTTTTACAAATGTCAGATTAGGAAGTTTTCTCTCCATATAATTACAGTTCTAGTTGATTGAGCTCCAAATTTAATGAAGTTTGCCTAACGAATGCAATGTTCATTCTTCTAAATAAAACAGAACCATCCATCATGAGCTAATAGAAGGAATTTAGCAGGGAAATAGCTGAACTATTAACAAAATCGTGCACACTTGCATTAAGCAAGAGTATTATTCCAAAGGACTGCAAAATAGTAAGTCAGATTTATATTTAGGTAGAATTCAGTTTCCTGAGATTAGACAAATAATTCTGTCACTTAATAGCACATAAATCTACAGTCTGAAATACCTAAAAAATCATATAACTAAGTCTAAACAGCAGGGCCATTAAAAGAAAAATGGTCTAACTAAAATTCTTTCAGCATGCCAAATGCCACATGAAAAACTGTTTTATTTATACCATTTCAAAGTCTCACAAGAGATTATAAAAGTACAGGGAGACAGATCGTTGTCATGTGTTCCATGAGAAAAGGAATATGAAGAAAATAAATAGCCCATTTTCATTATACCATAAGGATAAGTATAGAGATTTAGAAGTCCGATACCAGCTATAGAGTTGCTTAGTGTATTTATTATGTGGAAGCAGAAGAGACTACGAGTAGTGAGGTGCTAGAGAAAATATGCGAACTAGCATAGATCAATTACCATCAGAGAAGACTATGAAAA